AACGGGTTAATTTCTCGCATATTAACGATGAAAACTATCCGAGATCTGAACAAAATCAGGGATTATATCGAGGCGAACATTGTTGGACAGGACGGATTGAAACACGCGTTAATTACTCAAAAACTCTTGATTCTGAATAACTATAATTAAATTTCGATATTATGTGAATTGTAAGAATTTATATTTCAATAATTATACTAAAGAAGACCGCGTGCGGTCGAAACGTTTATAGAATGATTGTAATTTGCGTTAGTTTTAATATAATGACTGTAGTTTTATAATTTATACATGTAATAAATGGTAGTTGACTGAACATCTCGAATATTCAGCTCGATAAGTTGGCCTTATATTTATCACTTTGTTTTCAATATTATTATTATTACAATTTCTATATATATGCACATCTGTCAAATATCGTGATTTATTTCACATTATTATTATCTATTTTAATAAAAAAAAACAAAAACACTTGCAACAATCAAAAATAAACCGCCTGCCGCGAACGGAAAATGCCAAGAAAGCACGCAATTTCCGCGAATCTCGTAATTTTTTTGAAAAATCAACAATTTCAACGAAATTGTAAATTCTTCAAATCACTGCACAAGTATAATTCACAATAATAATTTTCAGTAACTACGATAAAAAATCGTATACTGAAAACCGCAAACGAAAGTGCAATAGGAGTAAGAGTAAAGTCTGTGATAAAATTAATTGGCAATAGAAAATTAATAATTTTCAAATAGAAAAATTTTGAAATTACCGAAGATTTACAAATAATAAAGTAAAAATATTAAATAATTTATGTTTTCGAATTTTGCTCGCGGAGAGGATCTTTAAAACAAGATTTTTAGAAGAGAGGACCTTTAAAATATAAACAGGCAAAAACGTTGGAAAAATTAAAGCGCGCGTTTAAACAGATAAACGCAATGAAATAAATACGCAATTGTTTTTACTTATCGCTGTAAGCTCACAAGCTTCTGACGTGCTATACACTTTTATATAATATATACAAGGTGTCCGGTAACTAACGGACCAATTATTAAGGGCGGATTCTCTGGCCAATTTGGAGACGATTTTTCCTTAGCAAAAATGTTGAGAAGTCAATAATTTTCGAGTTATAAGCGATTGAAAAAAATAGGTTTTTTGAAAACTAAACGTTTTGGAGTTAAAAGTCTAACATAATTACATTCTTCAGTTAATTTCAGGTAGAGTTTACTATAATAAAATTTTAATTTAAGGCTTAGTTATAAAGATACATAATGACAAAGATTGGAAAGTTGTAAAAAATGATGACCTTTTTCGACATTTTCGCTGAGGAAAAATCGTTCCCAAATTGACCAAAGAATTCATTTGTAATCATTGGTCTGTTAGTTACCGGACACCCTGTATATTGGACACGAGTTTCGTTTGTTTCAGATTCTCGAGAGTTGAAGTAGGAACATACGAGTATCATATATCGTTTGTGACTTGCCGAATGAAAGCAAGACAGAGAGCGAACGAGATGATGAGCTTAATAGCTCATAATGTTATAAATAAATAAATAAAAAATTATAACCTGACCTACTAGTTATTGAATCTTTTTTTAATAAAATGTTTCATTATTATTATCATCTAAGTCTAAGTCGTTTAATTACTTTTTAGTTTTTTAATAATTAATTTAATTTATTCTAGTCATTTTTATATGAGAAAAATAATATCACGTATACGTTTCATAATGAATTAATATATTTCGGGAATCGAATTATATATTCTTAATAATATAAAAGTGTTCAAAAATTATATTTGACTTTTAATTTTAATTATTTTATAGCAAAGAGTTCCGAAATCTCTTACACACATAATGGGGATTTTTTTCATCCATATAATTCGCAATTAAGTATATATGTTAATTATTAATTTTAATAAAATAAAAATTAAAATTAAAGGTCAAATATAATTTTTAAACACAAATATATTAAATTAATTATAAAACGTATACCCATGATAGTATTTTTCTCGTACAAAAATAATTAGAGTAAATTAAATTAATCATAAAAGATTAAAAATTAATTAAAAAATTTAAACTTATATTTTATATAATAATAATAAAACATTTTATTACGTCAAACCGTCGTGAAATAATTAAATAAAATTTGCTAGTTACGTCAAAGTTTTCTAAGCTTATAAAACATTTTATTAAAAAACAGATTCAATAAATATAAGTACATGTTATATATATACTTATATTTATTGAATCTGTTTTTTTTATAAAATGTTTTTTATTATCATATATAATATAAATTATTTAATTATTTTTTAATTTTTTATGAGTAATTTAATTTGTTCTAGTTATTTTTGTACGAGAAAAATACTATCACGCGGGTATACGTTTTATAACGAATTAAATATATTTATGTTCAAAAATTATATTTGACCTTTAATTTTAATTTTGTATTTTATTAAAATTAATAATTAACATATATACTTAATTGCGAATTATATGGATGAACAAAATCTCTATTATGTGTGTAAGAGATTTCGGAACTCTTTGCTAAAATAATTAAAATTAAAAGTCAAATATAATTTTTGAACACTTTTATATTATTAAAAATATATAATTCGACTCTCGAAATATATTAATTCATTATAAAACGTATACGTATTAGTATTTTTCACATATTAAAATGATTAGAATAAATTAAATTAATTATTAAAAAACTAAAAATTAATTAAACGACTTAGACTTAGATGATAATAATAATGAAACATTTATTAAAAATAATTATAATAGGTCAGGTTAATATTTTATTTATTTATAAGAGTTTTAACAAGGCTCTGTAATATAAATATAAACTTAACGTATAAGACGGGCAACAAGAGCCAAATCACGGATGACAATGCGTTATCCTAACGAAACTAAATAATTTTTCGTTAGAATTAAATACCGGTGCACAAGGCACCAAATTTTTACTTGGACACGGCCAAGATTTTAAATATGAAATAATCTCATATTTTGAGATTTAATTTCAATACCCCTTTAACCCCCCTACGGAAAATAAATAAATGAATGCAAGAGAAAAATATAGATCCGAAAATCGCTGAATCGGGAATCGAACCCGAGACCTTTCGCTTGCCGGGCGACTGCTCTTCCAGCTGAGCTATTCAGATCCTTTCGATTCTATACTTTTCTCTGTTATATATATTAATGTTGGTAAACAAACGCATTTTTTAAGCCAGCGTGTATCAAATATAAGAGTTTTAACAAGGCTCTGTAATATAAATATAAACTTAACGTATAAGACGGGCAACAAGAGCCAAATCACGGATGACAATGCGTTATCCTAACGAAACTAAATAATTTTTCGTTAGAATTAAATACCGGTGCACAAGGCACCAAATTTTTACTTGGACACGGCCAAGATTTTAAATATGAAATAATCTCATATTTTGAGATTTAATTTCAATACCCCTTTAACCCCCCTACGGAAAATAAATAAATGAATGCAAGAGAAAAATATAGATCCGAAAATCGCTGAATCGGGAATCGAACCCGAGACCTTTCGCTTGCCGGGCGACTGCTCTTCCAGCTGAGCTATTCAGATCCTTTCGATTCTATACTTTTCTCTGTTATATATATTAATGTTGGTAAACAAACGCATTTTTTAAGCCAGCGTGTATCAAATATAAGAGTTTTAACAAGGCTCTGTAATATAAATATAAACTTAACGTATAAGACGGGCAACAAGAGCCAAATCACGGATGACAATGCGTTATCCTAACGAAACTAAATAATTTTTCGTTAGAATTAAATACCGGTGCACAAGGCACCAAATTTTTACTTGGACACGGCCAAGATTTTAAATATGAAATAATCTCATATTTTGAGATTTAATTTCAATACCCCTTTAACCCCCCTACGGAAAATAAATAAATGAATGCAAGAGAAAAATATAGATCCGAAAATCGCTGAATCGGGAATCGAACCCGAGACCTTTCGCTTGCCGGGCGACTGCTCTTCCAGCTGAGCTATTCAGATCCTTTCGATTCTATACTTTTCTCTGTTATATGTCGCCCGGCAAGCGAAAGGTCTCGGGTTCGATTCCCGATTCAGCGATTTTCGGATCTATATTTTTCTCTTGCATTCATTTATTTATTTTCCGTAGGGGGTTAAAGGGGTATTGAAATTAAATCTCAAAATATGAGATTATTTCATATTTAAAATCTTGGCCGTGTCCAAGTAAAAATTTGGTGCCTTGTGCACCGGTATTTAATTCTAACGAAAAATTATTTAGTTTCGTTAGGATAACGCATTGTCATCCGTGATTTGGCTCTTGTTGCCCGTCTTATACGTTAAGTTTATATTTATATTACAGAGCCTTGTTAAAACTCTTATATTTGATACACGCTGGCTTAAAAAATGCGTTTGTTTACCAACATTAATATATATAACAGAGAAAAGTATAGAATCGAAAGGATCTGAATAGCTCAGCTGGAAGAGCAGTCGCCCGGCAAGCGAAAGGTCTCGGGTTCGATTCCCGATTCAGCGATTTTCGGATCTATATTTTTCTCTTGCATTCATTTATTTATTTTCCGTAGGGGGGTTAAAGGGGTATTGAAATTAAATCTCAAAATATGAGATTATTTCATATTTAAAATCTTGGCCGTGTCCAAGTAAAAATTTGGTGCCTTGTGCACCGGTATTTAATTCTAACGAAAAATTATTTAGTTTCGTTAGGATAACGCATTGTCATCCGTGATTTGGCTCTTGTTGCCCGTCTTATACGTTAAGTTTATATTTATTTATTTATTTATTTATAACATCATAAAATTCTGTCCTTTCCGAAATACGCGAACGCTACGAAAAGATAAATCTCGTACATGCCGCCGGACGAGTTCATGAGCATGAGACGCTCTTATCTTGGGAACGTATTAATAGTTACTGCATTGACTACTACTACGATATGGCGCTGAAATCAGTGAGAAATGCTGGTCTCTCCTTCATCCAGACCTTTGGCGATCTGTCTATTAATCTGTGGCGCGGAGCACATCGCGTACATCCGCAGTGCGCGTCGTGCGGTTGTGCAGCGAGTGAACGCGTGCGGCGCCTACACCTACACGTAGGGAACAACACTGGCGAATAGTGTCAGGAACGTCGTCGTCGTCGAACGAGAGCCTAGCAGTTGGCCTAGCCCGGAGTACTCCCGGAGAAGATGATCGTCGCTCGCAGGGACCGCGAGGACGGGATGACGTACGTGACGACGAGCCGGAAGCTCATCATCGCGGCGGGGATGTGAGCGAGGAAAGGGCGCTTCGCGAGAGCGTCGTCGACCTGGCCGCTCCAGGAGGTCCAGGAGAGGAAGGAGACGTCTCCGCGTTCTTTATATGCTATTACGCCTTTTCTTCGCTGTTTTGTTCGCGGAAAGCGGCGAATTCCCAGCGACGATGGCGGATTTCGACGCGATCTACGAGGAGGAGGAAGAGGAACACGAGCAGAATTTGGAGGAACACTACGTCGCGATGGTGCCGGACCCGATCGTGATCCGCGGAGCTGGTAACATGACGGTGTAAGTTGAAATTCGAGTCGAGATTGTACGTGTAGTCCGGACGAGAGAGAGAGAGAGTTTCTTTGTTGTCTCGGTTGGGAGAAAAAAGAGGAGGAAGGAGAAAGAGGACTCGCGCGCTCTTTCACAAAGGGAGGCAAACAATGGATCACCTGATTTCGATCAATTTTTTGACGCGAGCGTCGAAATTTTCGATTCACGTCTCGTCGTCGTCTCGTTTGTTGTGCCGATGGCATCGTCGATAGTTGACGAGGCGATTTTTTCCTCGAACGACGAATGCATATTCAACGCGAATTGTCTCGATATATACGTGTAATAAAATCGTAAGTTAAATGAGAGAATTTTTTTATTCGGATAAAAAGGAAAATTAAACAGGTGTTTTATTTGCAAAGTACATCTGTCGATAGATATCTGCGCATTATCGGTGCGGTGTTTACCTGCATTGTTAATCATATTTAAATATGTAAATGTCAACGTGATAAATTACACTTATTTCTGCTGAAAAGATGTTTATGCGCATATTTATTCGGCATAATTTGCCTCTGCAGTTCAATACAAAAATATTTCTCAAATATCTGATCTGTGTGTATATATATATAATATAAAATAACATTAATTATATTAATATTCATAAAATCTGACAAAAATATTCGTATTCTTTAAGAATGATTTTATATTAGCTATATTAATATCCAGTTTTGTGTAAAGTTCTTCAACTTTTAAGATTAGATAAATCCATGACTCATGCTTGCTTTTTACATATATAAAAAGAATTATTCTATATATTTTATATAGTTTTTTTTATTATATATAATTTTATTTAAAGGTCATTTAATTTAAAATTTTTCTTAATGTCATTAATTTTAAATTGATGTTCGATTTATTCATATATGTTGGAAGAACATTATTAATCTATCCAATTTTTTTCTTTTTATTTTTAGATTTGGTCTCAGTAATCGTTTTGAATCAGAGTTTCCTAACGGCCTCATATCCAGGGTGGCACCAGAAGAATTTAAGGCAACCGTTATGAGAATAAATAGTGTACTGAAAAAGACTTTACCTGTTAACGTTAAGTGGCTATTCTGCGGTTGTGTATGCTGCTGCTGTACCCTAGGATGTTCTCTGTGGCCTGTCATCTGTTTGAGCAAAAGGGTAAGACATAAGCATTAGTCAAAATTTGAATACTTTTATGAGATCATTTGTAAAATAAATATTAAATATTTAAATGTACTGTTTTTATAGACTCAACACTCGTTAAACAAATTGTTAGAATGGGAAAATAGTAGGCTTTATCATAAACTTGGATTACATTGGAGATTGGCAAAACAAAGATGCGATAGCTCTTCTATGATGGAATATGTAAGATATTACAAAATTATATTAAAATCTAGAATAAGCTACTAGTAGATATAAACTCAAATAATATTAATTATTTTTTGTCTTGATATTACAGGTTCTTCTAATAGAATTTATTCCAAAGATTCCAATCTATAAGCCCGACTAAGTAAACACTATATTAAATTGTGCAATTAATAATACATCAATATAATTTTGTGCAATGCAACTTACATGCAGAGAAATGCAGAACAGATAAAGTGCCGCTATGATGAAACAGGTACTTTTTCTTGGTACTTATCTAATGCATATTTTTGTAAATACCATGGGTAGGAATGCACAGTACAATAATTCGACATAATAATAATTGATGAAATTTTAATTATCATAAAAAAGAGAGAGAAACTATTTATTTATTTATAATTAAAATTTAAATTGAAAAGATATAAAAATAAAGATGATTATTTTTTGTTTGTTTGTTTTTTTTTTTTTTTTCATATCTGTTTGAAATTTGATGAATTAAATCGCAGTCTTAACTTTTTATTATTTTCTTTATTCTTACTCAATATTTTTCGCGCTTTAAGAACACCGCTCGATAATTTATTTCTTCAAATCACTTTTTTTAATTGTATGAATGTAATAATCTCAGATAATGCTTACTTGAAGTTCCTTATAACGTTCAGAAATCTGTACTCATCAACTAGAATTTAAGCATTCAGGTGAGAAATTAATCTGATTCAGTACAACGAACATATTAAAGTACAGATAATAAAGTAAAAATGAATAAATCTCGCTAAATAAATCTGTCTAATTGTGCGTAATAAAGCACACGCACGTTGTACATACGTGTGTACATATATAGAAACTTATTTTAACTATAAGTTAATTTCTTACCACGGTGATATTAGAAAGTATGATATGTAAAGTGCAGCTTTACTTTCTGATACAAATTTGACAAGGTATTTTAACACGAACGAAACATCCAAAGTAAGAAAGCGCGCGTTGTTACATGCGATTAAGATAATGTAGATTTCAGGAAATGTAGATAGCAAATCGTTGATAAAAATATAAAATGTCGACAAAATATAAAAAATGATAAATATAAAATGCCGATGATAAAAACAGATTTTAGTTGCAAAAGTTTAATAATAGGGTAAACAGTACAAAGCGTTTTAACACCAACACAATTATTATCTGAAAGACGTAGGAAATATCACAGGAAAGATTATCTTGAAGTTTATTGACTCTTGTTTCATGATAAAAAGTCGATACTTTTTGTACGTATAACTTTAGGTAAATAAAACTTATTGCAGAGATATGTTTCTCATACATACATATTATGTTTTATAAGAAAAATTGTTTATCAATAAATTTAAATTTTGTAAATAATTATATATATTGTTCGAAACATTTTTTTTTGCATCTTGCTTACTATACGAGATATTTACGTGCGTTGATTAAAATGGCTCACTCTGTGTGTGTGTGTGTGTGTGTGTGTGTGTGTGTATATATATATATATATATATATATATATATATATATATATATCAAGTTATTTAAATAAGATATTTGAATAACACTGGTACTGTTTGCCCTATTCTTGTTAATGATATACTCTTACTTGCATAAAAAAATAAAACAGGGATAGAATACCAGGATGATGTCTCCCATGTAAAGCATTGAGGAATTTGGTTGTGTAGACACTATTTTACATAATAATTTTTAATATGGTTCCACACAGATATTTCTCCATTAACAACTTGTTTAACACATGATAATGCAGCTGTTATCAGCTCTGTTGTTTTCACGTTAATCGATATACAAAACAAGTAAATTTACTCATTACCAGGCGCCTGGAAAAGAAAAAAAGTTATAGAAAAGTATGCAAAAGCATGTAAAAAAATACTACAAAATATTTCTGTTGCTGTTCAGTGGCTGTGATCGAGAACAAAAGACTAGTTTTGAATTCAAATGTGTATTGCAAACAACTACACATAACGCCCGTGCTTTATCTCATGATGTTCTCTACATTAAAAGCCTTTTATAGAATACCAGATTTACTCTGTTTCTCTAATATTTGTACTTATTCTATAGAATATTTAAGGACAAAGTAAAAAGCATTGCATTAGTAGAGGCGTTCGTGTCATGTAGATTTAATAAGAACGATATATTGCCATATCTGATTTCAATCACAAACTGTAGGACATAATCCATCATCATTAGTATTTTAAAAAATAAAGCAAATAGAATTATTTATACAGATTTCTCATTATACTCAATGGAGATAATGTGGAACGATTATACTCTCTATGATCTGTTGAATAGTTAATGATACATCAAATAATAAAATCGTTATAAAATCGTGATCGCATAAAAATCACGTTATTATATTTTCGAGCGGGTGTATGATCGAATTGTTACGCAAATATTATTTTTCCGATAATCCTACAAAGCGAGTAAAAGTATCAGTATTTCTATATGTAATGTCCCTCTAATCGATTTATCGAACAAACATTGAATTATATATACACATAAAGACCGAGATGTACTGTGTAATGGAACCGTGCATATGTGCTTTCTAAACTGGCTATCAGAATCCTCTTGATAGTATGTATAAAAATAAGGCTGTGTTACAAAATCGGGCAACGCGAGAGACAGAGTATGGTTCTAAAAAGCACTTTTAAAAACAATTCTCACATATTTTTTAGGAATAAAGATTACTTAACATATACCGACAAATAGAAACAAATTTTATTCTCTGTTACTCGCATTTCTATTTAAATATCAAATGTCTAATTACGTCTAAAAACGGTCTAATCTGTTTTCTTGAAATACGAATGTCAAGAATCAGGAAAATACAAGTAATACAGTTGCACATAATTTATTAATTTTTTAATATACAATTATAGACAATGTATACTAAAAAATTAATTAATCTTTACATGGCTTATATATACATGTTGTCTATGTGAAAATTTACACGGTCTTTTTCTTGCATAGATTATAAACTATGTAAACTTTGTAAAAAAACAAACGCTTATTTCTCATTAGTGTTTCATCTTTCCACACAAATTTATATTATTTTAAATATAACATGAATAATTTTCAACCCCTCCCCTTAACAAACAGCATTGTAACATCACGAAAATCTAAAAATTAAATCTATTTTAGGGGAAGGTCTTATTCGAAAACAAAAGGAAAGCGAGAGTTATAAGCGTAATATAGTATCTATCTAGATAACACACATAATGATACATAGTTTACATAGTTTAAATGTAGATATAGACTATTGATGTTTATGCGTAGCTTATCAGACAATTAGTTTGATAATAATTAACTAGTTAATCCACTTTAGAAACTATGCATTTTTAAGCAAATATACTTCTGTAATTTGAAACTATTTTGCAACTCACATTGTTTTATAGAATAGCTCGGCTAATATTGTACATGTTGAATGTGCGAATGGAAAAAAATATCAAAGCATCACAAAAATTCTTACATTTACTCATATCATTCAATGCTGCGTATAAATATATGTATAAACATGTATTTACATTGAATTATAAAAACACAGATGTTACATGGCATAGAAACCAATTATCTGAAATTGGTATACATCTCAGATCTGTTTCGTTTATTATTATTTAAGTGATCGAATATGATCCAAAAGAGCGGGAATAATTTTTCTTGGGACAGGAGTTGAATTTTTTAAATGAAAATATCAGCGTTATGATGTGTACGAGTGTAATAATAATGATGTAAATACGTAATGTGTAATGAGATGTGACGAATTCCTGTGGAATATATAGCGTGGCAAAATTGTAATATTGATGACTAAATTGCAGAACATGGGAGAAGAATATATTTTTGATAGATACAAGAGAAATGTGCAATGAATAATGATTATCGGAAAAAAATTTGAAAGAGAGAGCTCACGATTTGATGTTAAAAATATATAGGAAATGTTATGTTTCAGATTGAATATTTTTTGTGCGAATTTAAATATATCGCAATAAAAGGTATCATTAACGGCAGATTAATACGAATAAAAAATTGTAGAATATCGCATATCATATACATGCATTACATGCACTATATAGTTTAGTATATTAGATTTGTAACTTGCCACGGCATTTATTTATGTAACATTTTGAAGCCAATATAGAGAAGTGCAAAACATTCTTGGTGCAAGAATGGCTAAGTAGAAAAATTATTATCAAGCTATCGTGGTTTCAACATGTGCCTTTCGCTCGTAAATTTGTGTGAATCATAAATGTAAATATTATATGTTAATAAGCTATATTAAGAAATATATTTGTATAGAATGAGAATGGTTCCTACATACATATATGTATATAGGATTTCTATATACATATATGTATATATGTGTGTGCGTGCGTGTGTGTCGTGTGTATAGCACATAAATAAAATAAAAATATCCACGAACTCGCAAAGCCATTGCACAAGATTACATGACGAATCGAAATAGCATATCATCAATTTGCGACGATAGAAATTGTCCTTCAGAGGATTATAATGTTCATTGGACAATGTGAGATACGAAAAATATACGCAAATATATTATTTAAAAGCTAGCTTTTAATTTTAACGATGGACATAATATGCAATTTATTATAAAACTAATTTTCTGCTATGATTATATCTTTCTCGTATGCCTTCTGTTAACCATATAAATTTGTGTACTATGTTAACTGTGTTTTTCGGTTTGAAAATAAAGTTTTACAATTATATAATAGTTAAATATATATATTAAGTTTTATTCCTATTAGAAGATATCTTTTAGCAATTAAAAATTAATCAAATTATTCTTTTTCGACACATAATTTAATCAAATATATGTAATATAAACTATTTTTTTTATTAACTGCAGGTTGAATGCAGTTTAGCTTTAATTAGTCTTATTTTGATCAAATAATAGTAGGTATATATATTCTCTCTGGTATTCGTGTTAATGCACTCTAAACATAACAATGTTATCAGTAATACAACAGCTTATTTCGAAATGATAATTAGAACGCTACGTCACATTATTGTAATTGACAACAGATGCTTCACAGCTTCTAATTAAAAGGAGTTCATTATTGTTAGTCATATCTGTGCTACGGGACAGATAATACTTCTTATATAGGTATAGCATCTCGGACTAGACTTGAATTTAAGGTTCTCGATTATGATCGAATGTTTTACATCCTTAGTGCAAATGATATTACTACATAATAAAAATATCCGAGCGTTGATATTCGTTGCAAATATGCTGTCGCAATCAGTAGATTCTAATGAGCTTTCATCTACGTATACTTTCAGGTAAGGAAATATGTATCACGATGTTAAATATATATATATATTGTTTTTTCCTTACTTTATATATACTTAAAAACATATTAGTCGAATGTTATAATGAGTAACAAAACGAAGAAAATGAATACATAGATATTATTCTTTTTTATTAACGAATATTGAATAACTTGTATATAAATGTATGCTATATTTTTTCAGCACTGTTTCAACGTGTCCCTTGTCCATAACAGTTTTAGATTTCATTCATAACTTTACTCAATCCGATCTAGAAATTAAATGGCCCTGTGAAGTACGTTCTTACTGGCTATCATTGTTACCATTTGTCAGATTCGTTCGTTTCTTGCTTCGCTATGTAACACCGTTTATTATAATAATCGGTAAGGAATGCGTCTGCTACATATTGTGCACAATCTTTGACAATTCTCATATAAAATTGTAACTCACTTCGTATAGGTGTATTGTTAAATAGTATATCTTTTAGTATGTTGAGCACACCAGTGTTATGTGACTCCAATTTGTCACTTTATCTAAGTGCGCTCGCTATATCGGATAATGGAGCATTAATTTTCAATTACGCTGTCAGTGTCGCAAAATCGCACTCGACATCCGTTAATAATCTCTTTATGGTAAATATTCATGCTCACTTTACATTATTAAGGAGACGGGTGCAATTATTAAAATATTAATATTCTAATTATTTTTTAAGTAAAGAATTCCCTGATTTCTTGAGCTATATTGTAAAATAATTTTCAGATATATTTAAATGCATAAAAAATGTTTAATAATATATAAAAATGATCTGTTAGATTTGGAATTCTTTGCTACAATCGTGTTTTTGATGTTTCTTTTTTTTATATTGATCATAATTTTATTATTTTTTAAAAATCTGTTTAAAAACATATACTATATAAGATTCAATCGTTTGGTTAAAAAAAGAAGAAAATATAATTGTATCAAAAGTTATGAAAGATTAAAGTTGCCAAAAAATGGACTTTATAAAACATTGATCAAATATATCAATAGAACAATTTTGCCATATGTTTCCGTAATTGCACATGTCTCTTTATATTTGTTCAATCTTTCTGCTGCAAAAACTTATCGATTAAATGTTTTAATTTTTATTTAAATTATTAGTTTTTCTTCACATAGTATATGCATGTAATAACGTTAATTCTAAAACAGTGTCAAGTAATTGTTAAGTAATTAAATTATAATATTAAAGAGGAAAGAGTATACTTCTTGACAGCAGAAGAAAATTGAAGATATATAATATTCAAGATAATATTTAAGATATTTCTTCAGAATAGCAGATTCTTATGCGGCACGAGTTCCGTGAGCATGGAGCTTTTCCAATTTACGTCGACTTGGTTGATTGTTGCTCTGACGTGGACGCGCGTAATCGCTGTAATGTTTCCATTTGGAGCTCGTAGCTGCCAGAATTGTTCCGCAGTTATAATTGTCACAACTTTGATTTGCATAAGCTTTATAATATCCTTAACGAAGTTGTATTCTGTTGGTAAAGTGTACTCTATAATAATATTATTTTTTCCCTACTTGCAAAGTTACATTATAATTAAATTATTATTATTCATTGTTATTATTTCTATCAACAAATTATAGGATATGAGACTGACAGCGTTTTCGAATTTGTACCATGCCAGGAGAAAATAAAACCATGGGGTTACGCTATGTACTTTTACATCGCTCTGTCCACATGGCTACCATTGCTTTTTATATCCATTGGTAATTTGCTGTTAATTATTCGCATGAGAAAGACTTATAAAATTCACAATGAATTAACTCGTAAGTCATCGTACTATGACGTTACAATTATATGATGAATACATAATTATATACAATTAAGATAATCTCTATTAAGTGTGTGATTTTCGCTTTGTAGATCATTTCAGATATAAAAGCAACAGAACATATAATTATAGTAGAACGTTACTTGCGGTATCGATTGTACATTTAATTTTGTTATTGCCACTTGGAATCGTTGAGACATTGGAACTTTATTGGGATGTAATTTTAATTAAACATCCTGCTAAAAATGCAGAAGAAAATGAACGCTATATACACTGGTAAAAATATCACAGAATATAAATTAACATAGGAAAAAATATTATAATATTATAATACTAAGTTATCTAACTCAACAAATTATAAAATAAATCATATTTTATAATATTTCTCCATATATTTTAAGGTGATATAGTGTAAATAATGTAGTTATCTTTTCAGGTTGAAAGAGAAGATGTTATTCAAATGGTGCCGTGGCTTGTTCTTTCACATATACCACTGGAATTTTGCAATAAACTTCTTTCTATATTATCTTGCAGGAAAGAAGTTCCGAAGTGTCGTAACGCAAACGTTGAAAAATTATACGAATTCACACTTGTGTTATAAAAATATCTTTAAATGTAACAAATGGAGTAATTGTCATAAACATTTGACAACAATACGATCTTCTAGTACATTGTGGGCAAGAGCTGTTATGCGAAATAAACAATGTATCGATGATAATATTATAGCAAGTAATGTTAATGAAAGAAATAGCAATATTACCCAGTTATAAAAATAAAATGCATTTTACAAAAAGAAATTTTTTCGATAATAAATATTGCATACAGCTCATGCATATCTTTTGCAAAAAAAAAATACATCATATATTCAACTTAAAATTTAGAAATAATTATGTTTAAATTATTTTCATTTTTACATGTACATATATATTTATATTTTCTTATAATTAATTATAGAATTTATTCAAAATAGACACAAGAAAGTTTATTTTCTCTAGTTTATTTTGCATACACTGTGTGAAATGTTTACAATATTAAACATTGCAAAATATCACATTGCATATTAGGCAATCCTTGCAGAACAACGTAATTTTTAAGAATTAATTAGCACTTTAATTACGTGGTTAAGGATTTTATTTTAAATATAGCTATCAATTTTTGCTATTATCACTCGCCTTTCCTAATATCATCTTATAAACTAGATTCTGGTCCCAATACAGACCTTTGATGTAACTAGAATATTACGCTAATACTGTAACTAATGAGAATTTTTTGAGTAAATTAACATACATATATATATATGATTTATATTTTTTTCTGTGAAACTCGACTATAAATTAACTCAATAAGATATAAAGTTAAAAATTTTGATTTCCTTCTTTGTAAAATTTAGCCGATGACTTGACAAATTTGTGCATACAAAAAAATATTCCACAATATATTTTAATACACCTACCGAAATCAGCTTTGTAATTAATTACATACAATTCGCATATAGATATACAATAATCAAATATATACATATAAAAAGTATTTATTCATCTTAAAGATAGAATAAATGAATAATTATTTAAGCTATGCGTCTTTATCCTCTCCCTTTATTATGCGCATACTTATATAATAAATATTTACAACTGTATCATCAATTATATTTTGTTGGTAACTCAACTGAAATAAATTCTAAATTAATTCGAAATACATACACATGATAAATGTAAGACAATATAAATGTAAAACATATGTATTTATATATAAGGATAACTATTTTTCTTATTTATAATTTATTCTTAGGAAAAAATTTATATAAATATAGAGCGCATAAATATAGGGAAGATATACAGAGTAATTTTCTACCTTTAAAGATGTATTAAATTCAAATATTATGTACAACATAGAAGTTATAACTCTATAACTTCTTGCGTGCTAAATCTGATTAAAAAATATTCTAGAATGTAATATCTCATTTAAATCAAACTTTTTTTTCTTACTTTAATAAAGTATATTATTTTTATTTGGTTGTTTATTAACTGACTATCAAGAATAAATTCTTTAATTCACACTGGAAGCAAATGTTTAAATTAAAATGAATTATTTATTACACATTTATAAGCCTTGGTAAATCATACATTTATGCCTTATGAAATTAATATTTAAAATTTATACTAACATTTTAAATAATTATCTTTTGTATATATCAGGAAATAAACTTGCAAATATATTCGTACAAAAATGTCCTCGTAAATAAAAAGTCTCAAAAAATAAAGTTTGAAATATTTAAAGTAATTTTGAATTAAACTAAAAAAATTTTTGGAAACCAGATATAAAAAATTTGATAAGAAAAAACTAAATAATTTTTAATTTTTTGTACAATTTAAAAAATATAAGGCATATATAAGATATTTGGTGAAATTCTCTCTCAATCATATACAAAGTCATAAAGTTTCAAAAATAAGAAACAAAGAAACTTTACGTAATTTGCTTTGCCAACAGCAATCTTTACAAAATATTGCAAACAGTATAAGGGGCAAAACTTTTAGAAAGATTAAACGAATTGTACATATTTTATCGCAGAAAATGTTATCTTCTAATTCCTAAAGATAATATATCGCGATCATACTTTCAAAGATTATTTTTATTGGAACACGACAATAAAAATCGTATGTGTAATTCAGTCTTTCTGTTGATAAAATTTTCTAAAATTTGCATCAATTTTAAGTAATATGTACATGATCAAAATTACATCGTAAAAAACTTATTTTTATACTTCCTTTTTTATCACTATTCTTAATATTGATTTATAGATATAATTGATGATCCTAAATAATGTTTGCAATACGGAGCAACAGTAAATTGTTAATACATTTCACAAAATATTGAGAGAATGTTTAGATATTATGCGGAAGTCTATTTACATAATTTACTGGGAATTGTCCCTTTCTACCATTGTACTCACCATACAACCAATCTTCTGATATCCTCGATATGACTGTGATTTTTGCACCTTCCTGCAACACATTAGACATATATTAGGAATACAATAGATCTTTTCATTCAACTGTTTTGCCGCAAAATTTTCTTACTTCAAACGACAAGTCCTCGCTGTTCTCTCCTATAAAAGTATAAAGCGCCGTAACGATGTTGTCTGGTAAACCTGGCAGAGGTATCTTAATGTCAATAAAGTTAAATGGAAAGATTCCTTGACGATTTCCTATTCTTCCTTCCAACCAATCGTCATTGACCTTTTTTGTCAATTGCACAATATCGCCCTCTTTTAAAGCTAAATCATCTGGATGAGTTGCCGGGAAGTCGTACAGCGCAATACCATGAGGTTTAATTTCCGAATCTCCCTGTAATATTTATCATTGACATGCTTTGTTCTCTTAAACACATACTATGTAACTTCAAGTTTATAATACTTACGCCAAGCTCGTTGTTCAATTCAGTCAAATAATCAACAGGAGGTGCTGGTGGTGGAATCATAGGCATGGGTGGTGATGGACTATTACTTCCCTCATAGTCATCGGGCCAGGCATTCGAAAAATCTATCGTCAATGATTTATTCACCATATTACTATTCGAACTTTTAAAACCGATACATGTTTCCTTAGATATCGGTTCAAGCTTCTTGAAAGGTATCTTTGGTGCTGGAGGTTTAGGAGGTCTTGCTCGGATTATCGTAGGCATCGACGTGACAAAAGGTTTAGAAGCAGTCAAATTGGAAGGCACACTATTCCCTACACGATTGTTGAAATTAAGGGATAAGAGGCACGTGCCACTAGCGCCTTGAGGCACATTCGAGCATGTATCTTCCAAAGGCCCAAATGGATCTGGCATTGCTTTAGTTTGCCATGGATCATTTTGTGCTATCTTCTTGGAGGACATACCAAAGAAATCAAAATCATCTTCAAAGGCACTTTCCGTTTGCGATGTATTTCCACTACTTGTGAACACAGATGGATTGGAATTTCCATCACTACCAAAACTGTCGATGCTAACTCCATCACTGGAACGAGTTGTGAATGTTGGTGATCCAGGTGGACTGAGATCTATCAAAGATACTGCTGCACAATTTGTTACAGAGTTTGTGGATTGTAATACCGAATTCTGTAACTGACTTGTGGGACGTGAAAGAGGATTCTCTGGCTTTTTTCGTGCAAAGAAATTAGTCAGTAATTCTGTCGGTCTGGCCTAAAAAAAAATAAAATAAAAAGTATGCATAAAATATTTAAAAATTGATTTTGTTGACTTAATATATATGCTGAGAAATAATTTGAATTGCCATACAATACAGACTGCAATTTGAACAGAAACACATTTCTGAGCATGCTTTTCCTTGTTTTGTTTTCATTTAAAACAAATTGCAGATATTGCTTACAATATATTTCTCAATATTGTTAATGCATTGTTATATAAGAAAAGCATGTATTATATTAATATCAATACAAACTTTTTCAAAAATGCTTCTGCGGCAAATTGGATGAAAAATTGTAAGCAAATTTTATATAAATCACAGTTCTTACTGGCTTTCTTGCTTTCTGATCCTTTTGATATTGTACATGATTATAATTAAATTTTGGAGGTGGAGGCCGAGGAGGTGGCTTTTTCCTTTGTACAGGTTGCGTCATCAGATTGTTACTACCAAAAATGTCATTACTGGAAGCATAACAAGTATACGCATCATTGTAAAGAACAAATAGAAATTTCCAAAACTTGCTAGGAAAACCATTTAGCAAATTCAAAGTCATATGGATTCAACAAAAGCATACCTGCTGCTCCAGATCGGATCTCTCTGCGTCGTACTCTGGCCAGGAGGATGAGGCGCCACCCGCGTTGGTATTCGCATGTCTGAAAGCAACACGACAACCTCGGATCAGATCGAACGACGCAACTGGAGCTTTGACGTGATCCGTTCCTCGCACACGCTGGTACGCACGCACACACACATACATACGCGCGCGCACAGACACACGCACGCGCGGAAAAAAATTCGACCTCCGATAACTATGAAAAATTGTCCAAAACAAATCGCACGTTGCTGGGTGACAGATGCCACGATATACGTCCTCGACGATGATGCGATGTCGCGCGATATACGCCCACTCCGGGTCGAGGCAGATAACTCGGACGCGTGTCGCGACTTATCGGCGTCCGCTGATAATCGCGGGGGAAACTTCGCGGAATCGCAACACGGAGAGAAAGAGAGAAATCGCGGAGGGTTCGACGCGCTCGACGGCGCATCAGCTGTTTTATCGGCGAGAACAGAACGATTAAACGAGACGCGTCATTCCTCCGGGGTTATCGTCGACGGAAACGCCTACGACTCGGTGCTCGCGAACGGAAATCGCCGACTGCGATGACGCGACGATGCGACGAACAATTCCCTGCATTTATCACTCACCTGTTCTCACGTTCGCGGCCATTTTTCATTCGTCGCGACTCGCTGCGCCAACGACCAACGACTACGTCATTTTAGGTTACAACGCAGTGCAAACTTTAAACAATCGCTTTTGAATTTATCACGCGCGATCGATCATTCGATATCGAGTCGATATGTGTCGAAAAAGAAATTTTATAAAAAAAAGTTTGAGATAAAAATAATAATCTTTCCTCTCTTCGAGACAACTATTGTTTAAGGATTTAATTTTAAATATTAAATCTCTTAAATTCTTAAAATTTAAATCTTTCTTTTGTTTAAAAAAATTGATGGTTATGAAACATATGCATAAGATTACCTAAATATATATACACATAGAATTATATTAATATATTAGGAATATTTAGTAAAGTGATGATTAATTTATAATAAAATTAACATTAGAGATGTCAAAAAAAATTAATAATATATGATGTAAACTTTGAGAAATGTTACAGAAATCTTTTGAAATAATAAATTTAATTGTAAGAATATATTAAAAATCACAAATTATATATAATTTATTGAGATTGGTGCGATATTATTAACAATTTTGAAGTAATTTATTGACAAAATATAAATGACTGCAAAATTTAAGTTTGATTAATTTACACTTGTTTAATATTAGGCGCGACAATCGGCACCCAATGACAGCTGAACGTTGCGCGACGACCAGCCAATCACAGTCGGGCGCTGTTTTCAATTACGGAGCAACGATCGGCCAATCACAGCGCGAGTTCAATAACTCAAGATATTCAAACGCGAGATTTAGTTAGTTTCGCGCTTCAACCGTCTTCGGGTCCGGGTCAGATCGTGTCGGTGGTCCGAATTAAAGTGAATTTCGGGAGTGTTTCACGATCCTGCTTGGATCAGATAGTGTTGTTCGCGATGCAGATCAAGATAGAATAATCGAACGTGAGAAATAAGGCCCGAACGACGGTAGCACGGACCGATTTCGTGCTCGTATCAAATGCATCGGATGCATTTGCCGGACGCGAGTGCCGCGATGTGTTTTCTCTTCGGCTTGAAGTGGAATAAATCCACAAGTGTCTGTGAAAGTGAAAAGAAATTAGCGTAGTGAGTGTTGCTGGTGTATCACCAGCTCAAGTGCATTTGTGGAGTAGAAATAAGTGGATATCTCTTCTCTTCTCCCATCCCCTTCCCCCTTACCCCCGGTCTCAAGGATATTCATCGACCGGTGAGTGCACTCGATTAATTACTTTTGGGTCATTAATTGTTTAATTGTTTCATGCGCTGAATTTAATCATGTTTTCGTTATCACTCTCGATTTTTCGTTGTGAAACATCGATCTCCGTGTTTCGTTGACAAGGTAGACGATATCCCAAGTATATAAGGGTACAATGGCGAAATGAACAAAGAACAAAATGGCGGAAGTATAGATTCTAGATTCTATAGATCTTGAGACAGTTGATAATTGCAACAGTCGGTATTCGCGACAGTCGGTAATCGCGACAGTCGGTAATCGTTGAACTTATCTTACGAGTCATATCGAAATATATATAAATTACACAAGTCAAACTAAACGAAATTTGCTAATTAAATTTTGAAATAATATATTATAAAAATTAAAATAATATGCTATACTTTAAATTGGATTAATATTTTGACGGTTATCAGCTGATTTCTGTCAAAAAATATTAATCAGGGATAAAATATTATAAAAATATTACATTATATTATATTATTGCAACATATTACTATTTTAATTTTTATAACATATTTTTATTTTAAAATTTAATTAGTAAATTAACATTTTAATAAGCTGATATTTATCAAAAAATATTATTTGAGTTTAAATAAACTTAATATTATTTTAAAAAATATTCTTTTGAATATAAAATTGAAGGATGGCGCGCGCTTGTTATTTTAGTATAAAAAAAAATTAATGTCAAATTAAGGTACTTATAAATTTTAACTGTATAGCTGATTTTGAAACATCTAAAATATCATAAGAGAGAGAGCAATGAATCATAAATATTACAAGAAACTTATTTAAATATTATATTCTTGTAACACATTGTTCATATGTACTATTTGATTCGTAAATTTCATTCTCTCTTTTAATTTACTTATTTCAATTTAAAAATTAACTTAAAAAAATAGAGAATTTACATGTGATATAATTTACAGTTTAATTAATGACACTGAGCAACACAGAGAAAGAAAACACAATAATCTCTTCATCATAAACGCCATTTTATTTTGCCTATATACAGAAAGAGGAAATTCCCTTGTCGCACCTAGATAATGATTTAATGATTAATCGTGTCTTACGGACAATTAAAAGTCGACGCGTGTGGCGTTTGTACCCTGACTTAAGATAATACGAGAGGAATTGTAAAATCGGTTCCGACATTGCCCCGGACGCGAATTATAAAGTAAAAAGGAAAAATAGGTCTCTCTCTTACTTACTTTTCGCGAAAGTTAGAAAAGAGTTCGGGTAGGTAGGTAGGTATGTATTTTAAATACAAGAACACATGGTACTTTCGTCAAGCATGAGGGATCAAGATAAGGATCGAGTCGCGATCTCGATCGACAATCTCATCGTCCCTGCGCTTTCCTCTTGAACTTCAGTGCCAAACCGATAGGTCTACGAACGAAAATGCTTCGTCGTCACCTGACATACATATTCAAGCTTCGAATCACGTGAGGCTGAATTTCAATCAACAATTCAAAATAATCGATTCTTATATCTTTTACTTTTTCGTGAAAGTAAATTCATTAGTTGAAATTTAATTTTTATAAAGTTTTTATAAATATTAAAATTAAATAATAATAAATTTCAAAATTAATATATCTGAAATTATTTATTTATAATTTCACTTTTGTTTCCATTCTATTTAAGAATATCTCAAGTCTTATATCTTCATTTTTATATCAGCTTTCGTTTAATATCAATACTAATTTCGATATAATTAATATAAATCCGTGACAATACATATACATATATAAAGAAAAAGAAACAATTTCATCAAAATTATACACTGACATTGATTAAGCATCAATTTTTAAATTTAGATTTCTATTCTCATAACAGACTCATCACGATAAAAATCTTTGCCGAAAGTGTTTATAGTTTTATGTTCGTCAGAGAATTTTATTATAAAGAGTCCTTAAGAGAAATTTCTTTAAAATAGAACACGTAGCCTCATGTGCTAAACTGATATAAGATCGTCGATCGTTTGCTTTGTTCGTTTCTAAAATCGAATCGATTTTATCTAGTGAGCTGAACATATATATCGCGCGCAAGCGATGACTAAGGTCTGAGTCAGAAGAGGGTCTTCTTGTATCTCTTTGATTAATTAGAAAGTATTCTACCTGAAAACATTGCCTTCGATGAACACATTTATATATTCATAGATACTCGTCGTTTGAGTGATCTAGAAGCGTATTTTTATTGTTCTTAAGTTAGAAATTCATTGATCAACATGTATTCGTGTTTTTTTCTAATAAAGTTAATTGTATAGGCCACATGTCCAAGCAGTCTTGAACTTTTTCGGGCAATGTTTCTAGGTCAGAGAACGAAGTTTTATCGCGTCCAAGAAATATCCCTTCTTCGATGTTCTTCTAGTAAGTTTGATTGACTCTGTGATATAATGATGATAAGTAAATGGGTGTGCAGAAAGAATGAGCCGGATTTTAGATTAGAAACTCGTTCATTAATTTGTACGACTTGCTCTAGTAACGTTTTAATCGTTATTAAGCAATTATTTTCGCGTGTTATATTATATGTATATAATATATAGTATATTTCTTTACGCGAATTTTTAATTTGAATCCGACTCAATCTCTAATCCCATTTATTCATCGCTTTATACTATATGTATATACTATACTATACAAAGCTCACTAGTTGTATTCGAATTTACATTACGTTCCAGTCGCTCATTCGAATTTACATAGCTATTTTTTTCATACATGGATCAACCAGTATAGCGTAAAAACCATCCCGTGTAGATGCGCGATGCGAAATATCGAGAAAGTCGAGGATATACTCGAGTGTATCTAACGCACAATACAAACATCGAATTCGATCGTTTACAATAATTAATATACATGGACTTCAGAGACAGATGATCGCAAGTAACCGCTCGCTTATTAAACAACCTGTATATTTTGTATCACATATGTCGCTTAAAATTCGCAAGATGATTCTATCACAAAAAAGATTCGCAACGCGCGCGCGAATATACTTGTAAGCAACAAGGCGAATGATTTCTTGGACCAAGTAATGGCAATGTTTCTCGAATCTAAGATTCTTTTAACCAATAAAGATTTTTGTAATCACTTGCGTCACGTTGCCTCCGAAATTGTAAGCGGAGAATGACCAAAATCGAGACGCTATTTTACAGAGGGGATTCCTTTAATTTATTTTCGTTGTTCAGTGCTTCAATCGTGAGTTCTCTCGGGACTAGAGTGTGAGCTTATCTTTAATGAGACGTAATATTACCTTGCGTTCAAAGATTCCAACTTCGATCATTCGACTCCAAGATTACAGCACTAAACGAGAGAAATAATTCAGAGGATTGAATTTAGAATAGACTTTGGTTACTCTCCTCTATATAAAAATTTCCATCGAGAATGATTACTCTCATCTCGTGTTAGTACGCTTCGAAGCTTATTCTAGGCCGTTCTTTGTCGGCAAAAAAAGAGAGGATTCAGAGCATCCTTAGTCGTGTTTAGCCGCGCGTTTCCGCGATGTAAAGATCGATATAATTTCTCGATACAGGCTGAAAATTGCGCGACTCAAACGTATATGAGTGAAGCGTATGATTCAGCTGCCATTAACACATTGACTGCCAAGATATATATTTTTCAATTTACGATTTTATATTATTTTATTATTTTTTTTTTCTTTTAAGATAGAATATTTTACATAACATTGCTCTCTTTTGATAACAGTTTCATTAATTCTTTATATGCTTATATCTTTTCCAAATGCACTATATCAAACAAATCGCGGAGTTGTTTCATTCGTCGAAACTTATCGCTATTCCCTACAAACACAGCCAATGTGTTAAAAAAAAAAGTTATTTTTCTCCCTTCTTCTTCCTTTTTGATTGCGCTAGCTCTAACTCTTCTCCCTCGGCCTGAGAGAAATTCGATCCGGCTGTCGGCGCGAGAGAAGCACTAGGATGAGAGTGTGACGCCGTCGCGCGCAGAATAGTGATTCTTCCCCCGCAGGAGAGTCAGTCTTGTTGAGGATTGGTAGGTAGCTCTGGTACGAGTTGGTCCTGGCACGAGGACCTGCTACCGGAGGCTGTCGACGCGTATAATCGTAGCGGCTTCGACAGCCACGGATGCAGCGGCACGTCCTCGGCGTAAGGTCGCTCGGACGGCTCCTTTCGCAGCAACGAACGGATCAGGCACTTGGCGCGCGGACTCAGACCCTCCGGCACGGCGAACTGGCCGCGCGAGATCTTGGCGAAGAGGTACGCGTGCTCGGCGTCGTTGAATGGATAACGACCGACCAGCATCGTGTAGAGCAGCACGCCCAGCGACCAGATGTCCGCCGCCTTGCCGGAATAAGCGCGTCTGGACCGCAGCACTTCCGGCGCGACATACGCCGGGCAGCCGCGCCGATCGGTCAGCTTGTCGTCGTCGTTGTCCACGATCACCGCGTCCTCGAGGCTCTCCAAGCGAAGCCGCGTTCTGAGACAAGATAGAAATAGGGAGATTAGAGTCTGTCGAAGTATGCGTGGAATTTTTTCGTGATGATTCTTTTTCAAGACACGTGGGCGTCTTACGTCACGCAGTAGAACAATTTGTGTTTCCTTATTAAAGGTCCCCGTTCAAATTTTTGTGGTAATTGAACTTAAATGTTAAATTAAAACAATTGAAAGAAACATGTATAAAAATAACACGATGTGCACCTATTATAATAATGTTTTTTTATTAGTGAAAAGATTTATCTGTTCAAATTTACAGAAAAAAATGTTTTTTTATTTTATAATATAAGGGGGAAATGATGAAATCTAAAATTAACATTTTTAGTTCATTTTTACTATGTTGATTTTGCACAAAATTTATTTTAAATTACTTGTATTTTTGCATTTATTTTGTGTTGAAATATTGGCACAATTGTGTCTTTATTTAACATATCCATATTATATATTAAATTAACACGAAAGTTTCTGTGGATCGTTTGGGACATGTGATATTTGTTAAATTTAACAGATTGAATTTTTCAACTGTGCGCTTTCGAAACAAGCGAATTTTACGTTTCTCTCCTTCTGTCAATCTTAATTCATTTAACTCTTCGAGTACACAAGAGCGATTCAAAAGCTAGCGAGGGCGTATAATGAATGACACCTAGTATCGAGAAAATGAAAGAGAGCAAGCTATACAGAGAACAGGGTATTAAATCTTGCTAGAGATTTACGATCCTTCTGATTCGTCGTCGTGCGAAATTTGTTCTGCGTGTCTCGAGCATGCGTTGCGCCAAGTTCTGCATTTATTATCGACCTGGCTATACGATCCGCGAAGCGAAACCGAGGATCTCTGATCGTGCAACCTTTTATGCGCGCGCGCCCGAAGGCAAGGTATTTCAATTTAGCAAGAGGGACAAACGCGATTGAGCCATCGCCATCTCGCTGTTCTCAGTCCGTCGTCAGTAGTGATGGAATTAAGGCTCAACGAGACGAGGAGAAGGTAAAAGGAGAGGAGAGCGCAGCTGGCCGGTCGCGGTTCCCGCTATGCGTTGATCAACCTGCAACGCGGAAGTCGCGCGTGTACGTAATATTCTTGGGTCTTGGGTAACTTCTGAACTCTCCTTCGATGCGAGTTCTCATAGTCTCGCCCACGATATTCGGTCGAAACGCAGTGGCGTAGCCAGCTCGAGAAAGCGCTAAATTACGGATAAAAAATATCCCTTGGCTCCTGCCAAAAATACACATCTTCGGCTGTGTATAATATTTTAGCTATTTATAGCAAAGATCTGACGTAGGTGTATATTTTAGAACGTTATCTATTATGAAAATATTTATTTTAAAATCTTGTATATTTTCGACACATTTAAAATTTATAATAAGATACAATATAGTATATAGATGAAAAAAAATGATCGAAATTTTTTCGCTAATGAAAATATATTACGTTATTTTAATCTTGACTACTGCACACACTATTAATTAATTACTGTTTTGTCTTAATATGTATATTCACGCATGTTTTATATATCCTTTTCAAGTACAAATTGAAAAAGAAAATAAGAATAAGGTGAAGATATTTACATCAACCGATTAAAATAGAAGTCGCGCATTAATTTATGCAATATAATAGAATTATACATTTCGAGGACGTATTTCAATGAAATCGTTGCCGTTGAGGTTTGTCATCATTTCGAAAGATCCGAGACGGATCACGGGACATGTCTTTGGTGAACATATACGTCACGCGAGAGTCGTTACACGATCTTGACAATCCGTACGAGTGTCAATGGCCTCTCTCACGAGCAAATGAATCGAACCAGCGTGATGGCACGCTAGACTGTTTATGATGAACCAAACGCGGCCGCGGAGCGAGAGAGATAGAGAAAGAGAGAGGCCGCAGCTTTCTTCGCAAACTTTCACCGCCAACCGCGCACAGCACAACGCGATATCACTCCGGGTTCAAGAACCTCTTGGCGGATTCTAGACGCGATGTGGTTTCTTGGACAGTCCGTGAAATTTATAAAGCCGAAACGTTTGTCGCTATTAGGACCGTCAATTATCCAACGCGATCGATTGAGTCTTACTTCTTCGTTGAATTATATTACGATTGAAGGGTTGAAAGAAAAACAAGCAAAAAATGAAAGTTATGAAAATCATTTAATTACGCGGATGCAATCATGAATTAATGTTTCCAATAGTAAGATATACTCGAGATTATTTTATTCCTCCGCGATTATACATCGATCTTTTGTATATTCGATAACGAAAATCCGGAACTATAAATAACTTACACGAGTATAAATATTCTCATATGATAATTCATATTCATTTTAAATATAAAATAGAACAATAATTTTTTTTATAAGAATCATATCTCATGTTTATCCTAAAATAGCGATTTTATAATTAGCGTAATTAATTAAAATTAAAGTAAATGATTTATAGCAAGCGATAAATATTTTAAACCTATTTTTATCTTTCTAGGATTTTAATCCTCTATAAATATTCATATAAATAATCCCGGATGTAGGCAAAAATACGCGAATTCAGGTTCCAACGTGACGAATTTACAGTTTCAAGAATAGAGAGTCTCTCGCACACGCGTGCAAAAAATCGAGACCGACGATTTAGTCGTAAAGATCATTAACCTCGCGATGACGATCCTCCTGATTGAATTCGGCACCGAACCGGACCAACGTCGCGTCGTTGCGAAAGGTGCATGGCAGAGAGAAATCCGGTCACGAGATCGGATCATTTCTTTTCACCGAGACTGTGAACTAACGTTATATATATATATGTACTTGACGACTATACGCGTGTATATTTTATCGCGAGACGTGCGCGTGACGTATCCAGCAATTACCATAGGTCGAACTCCACGCAGCATCCGGGAAAAGACTGATTTGATCGTTTTAATCCGTCCATTGTAGCTGGCCGATGAAAGAGAGAGAAATCCACCGCGAGAGATCCGGAACTGAATAAAACTCACGTGCAAAGTCGCTATATAAATTTTCAAGGAAAGACACTCGCGTTGACGCGAATTGCACATTATTTCTTCTGAAAATCGATTTGAAAAATTTGACATGTAAATTTTTGATTAAAAATATGCAAATAAAGAGAAAGATAGATAGAGATATTACACACTCAACTAAGGATTTAATACATCAACTGGAATTTCTAATTCTTGGCTCATAATTGTCTAAAATTTCGCCAACGACATATATCGTAACCGCATGCGTTACGGTAATCTCACGCTTGCGTCCTAAGCGTTCGCGTTTATCCGAGGAAGGCGAGAAAGGGAGGAAAGGATACTACACGCCGTGCTGGACGTCGACCGCGCCGGTGGAACGAACGAGCCACGCGTTTCCTAATTATACGGACGTTTCAAAAGTCTAGCAGCGAGAACCAATATGCTTTTCTGGCTTGCAACATTCCCCGGGTTCTCCTTATTCCACGTGCGCGCGCGCGCGAGAGCACCAGCAACAGCAGCAGCAGCAGTAGCAACAACCCGCCGAGTGGCAGGAATGCGATTAGCCAACAACGGACCGACATACGAGTCGATCTCCCGCCGATACACCCGGCCTGGCCTTAGCACGGCTGGTCGCAGGCTCTTGTGCCTATCGTAGCGACACGTGGGTGCGTCGCGTCGTGTCGCGGATAGTCAGATAATGTCGCGAGCGAACAGACTTCGCATATACACTTGAATCACGATTCTAGGTTCATCCGGGGGAATGATAAATGCAATAGCGACATTGCACGCGATCCAGCGAAGGATTTGTATAATCGTTTGTATATTACTGTTTTATACGGAATTTTCTCTTACCCTGAAAATCAATCATAGTAATCGTGCACTAAAAAAGATTATTAAATTAGTAAATATTTATTTCAATATTGCCTAATAATTTATTTGAAACAAATAAATATTTATCTGTTTTGGAAAAGATTTTCTTATATCTCAAATAGATGATTTATTAGGCACAGTATTGAAATAAATATTTATTCGAATTCAATAAATTTTTTTTCAATGTGAATCATAAGGTATTGGAAGAATCTTTTAGAAGAGCTTTTCGGAATAAAATATTTACCACTGAGAAAAAAATACTGTTGAATCAACAACATCGATGCAGTTAAATTTATTTTATTATTTCAATGACATTAATTAAATCAAGACGTCATGCTTTTGTTTTACAAATTGAAATATTGAAATATTTGAAATATTGATGAATCAACTGCATATGTTTCTGGCAGTCGATGTTTAATTGAATCAACAGTATTTTTTCTCAGTAAAAAGTATTAATACCTATGTACATACATAGTAAAATTAATCGCGAACATAGGTACTTCATATCTTATTATAGATATTTATATTTTTTATTGTGGTGTAAATATGAATCAGAGGAATTTCAATAAAATTCTTCCCATTCACCATATTGTCCCACGATATTATGAATTCATTCTTAAGAATCAATTTTCTGTATAGGTGATTTAATTAAATCTCTTCAAATTAAATGCAGAGATATATTTCTCTTCCCCTCCCCACACAAAATTATTTGCGCATAATCTGGGAAAAATATTAATATCTGAAGAACTTGCAAACATGTCAAATGACAAATTACGTTTCTATTCTAAATGAGTATTTAAGAATTATAATTCAATACATCCACGAATAGCGTGTCGATGCGATGTTTGCATGCAAAATATCTTAATATTAGACGCGAAACGTGTTCTCTTTCTTTCGAATAAAAATCGTATCCTCGACGAATTGATACGTATTCGTTTCATTTCCATATTTACTCGTATTTTTTACTCGTATTTTTCCAGCGTTGAGAACAGAGAGGTCACTCTCACACAAGAAAATCACACCCACTGCAATCGATTTCCCCTTCACTCGGAAAAGCGAACGCGAACTTAATACTATCGATACCTTCGCTTCGGTCTAGAGATGACGAGTGTCATTTATCAATTTTAAATGAATCATTGGAAAAGACGCTTTCGATCGCTCTGTGTGTGCTCAGAATTTGTACTATTATTAAAAATGATTTATAATACATATGCAAATTTACGAGAAAAATGCTTAAAAGAAAAAAATTATATATAATGCAAAATTTTTGAGTAAAAAGATTAATCGAATACATCCGTAATTGTGCGGTTTACAATAGAATCAAAGCACGGTATCGGGTTATCAATCTCAGCAAGGTTGTAATAAATTTTAATTATTATGATTACAGGAACTCTCTTACCTCGCTTCATCGGCGAAGACAAACTTCCGGAGCTTGAGATCCCTCAGCACGACCCCGTATTCATGACAAGTCGCAACAGCCCTGGCCGCCTGCCGGAAGAGCCGTCTCGCCTCGGGCTCGCGCAGTCTCCTGCGCGCCCTTACGTAGGCGTGCAGGTCACCGTGATGGCCCTCCAAGAGGAGATAACGCCGACCTCCAGGTGCCTCCACCACGCCCGCCACGCCACTCGCCGCGCCGGTGCCCTCCAGACGAAGGTGGGCCTGCAGCAACGCCTCGCAACCTTTGTCGCCCACGGTCAGCGCCTGAGTCAACGCATCGTCGTCGGTTAAAAAAAGGATCGGAAGTGGACCATAAAGGTTTGTTTTTATACTGTCCAGTAGAAATATCGAACATTTGGTTCCTTAATTTTACACAATTTTATGTCCCCGAACTTTACACGTATTTTTAATCAATCTCTCCGTTTATGGTATATTGCATAAAAAAAAGCGATAGATTTTATTTAATTTTAATTATCAATATCAGCAAGATTTAATTATCAGAAAATAATTAATTTAAATTCGAACGAAATAAATGATCGTTCAACGAGCTTGAATTATCCCAAGCGGATATCCTTGAAAAAGCGATATTAATTTCCACGATGAATTTAAATGATGATCAGTAAAATACGTGACCATGATTCTTCGTTTCGCCATACGACGCCGAACGCGATGTTTAAGATTGATAAACTCACATCCGTTCTAATTTTCTTAATTATTCGAATTAAGAATTGGATTCGGTTTTCAGATATCGAGATATCAAACTAATTTAAATTGTACATATTACAAGTCTAACATAATCTTAGTTAAAATTAATTTTTGATAAAAAGTAGAAGAGGGGAGGATAAGAATCTAATCAATATCGTATATAATTATATGTATGCATATATATGTATAATATTTAATTAATATTTTTGTCGATTCGTGCATCAATTTTCTCGTTATGAAAACTTTATGCAACAAAATGAAATTGTCGATTACTTTTGAAATTTTGCTCGTCCAGCTGTTCATCTCTGTCTCGTGTTGAAACCTGACACCATTTCGACATTCGAGTCCTATTAGTTTAATAAGAGCACCGTGCGTTCTTTACGAAATCGAGTCGATCAGTCATCGATTGCCGCCTTTGTAAACTCGCGAAAATACTTTGAAAATTCTTTCTCTCTCTCTCTCGCATTATTTTGGGTAAATTTGAAAAATGGAATAAGAGAAAAAAAGAGTCAAATATCAGGCAAACTTGACAAAGTATTGCATTTAAATCTTTAGCAAATTTACCAAACATAATATAATAGATAGAATAAAGAACAAAAATCGCAAATAAACATCTAGAATGATTCATAAACCGACATGCGCTATATCAACCTTGAACCCTTGCGAGGAGTTTAATGGCATTAGCTCGGTGCGATCGCGACCGCTCTGTTCTCTCCGAAAGTGCCAGGACTCATTTTTTTCGAAATCACAAACTCTTGTAATTTGCAAAGCGGACATGTTTGCGAAAGCATACGTCACGCGACGCTCTCGTGTAATCGTCGATTAAATTAAACGGCCGTGGTTTTAGTCCGCGATTATGAATAACGGACAAGAGTATATGTGGCGATATGCGACGGATATGCGAGGTGACACAACCTTGTATTTGTTCGCAGCGCGATGATGTAAGCCGGCTGCTCGCTCATTGTATAACGCGCGGCGATTGTAAAATGTTAATGGAAACGCGGCGGGAGGGTCCACGCAATAAACTTATTACATGGCGTTTATTAGTCTCCTTTCGAGCAATTTCTAGCCAAGTTTTATAACAAAAAAAAGTGATATACGTGAATTATTTTCGCGACGCGCGGTCGCGAAATCGAAACTGCAGATGCAATGCGACATATAACGTAAACACAAACAGGCATAAACTTGAAAAACAGGAAGTGGAGCACACGTGCGCATAAATTTATACAAATTTTCGGAGGGTTTGTTTTCTGAAATTAATATACGAATTTATATAGGTTTATAACAAATTTTTAATTAAGGAACTTAATCATTTTCGCGAGCAATTTAATTTATATATTGACAATCAGTGTTTAAAATATAAAATATATTCGTTGTCAAAATATTATGTGTAAAAAAAATATTAAATTTATTTTACTCATTAACTTATCTCTCGTGTCAACTTTGATACGCCAAAAATATTTCGGCTTCGAATCGCGAACGAATTTTATCAAAAAATATATCGACGGAAATTGCCTTTTTCGATTAATTAAACAAGTTGATCGCTTAGATACAGAATAATTGAATTTTCCTCGAGGAAGTTGTGAACATTTCCTAGACAAATGCACCCAGTTACATCGTCGTCGATCTCGCAACGAGTTTCACGGTAGTAGCTTCGATCGACCCGAACATTAGCGAACCGTTACGTCCGTATACTCTATTATATAATGCCACAATATAGGATGGAAACTCGGCAGCTGCAGTGCGCTGTGAAGGCATCCACGTGCGATGCCATGTCACCGCCGATACCGGTTCTTATTATGCAAAAGGCTAACTCATAATATTATTGTTACGGGATATTGCGAAAATCTTCGTTATTTATTTGCATTATCGTTTCTTAGAAAATTTTGTTATTACATTAATAACCGTGATTTTTCTTTCCTTTAAATGATTTACAATCCTTTTAACTCTCTTAATATTTTGCCAAAATACTCGGGACAATCCGCGTAAAAGAATATATTATAAAAAAATCACATATCATTTATTCAGTATTTTATTACATCTTACTTAATAGAGAAGAAATTATTATTTCTCGAGATGTTAAAAAAGTAAATACCGATATAAACCGATAATGCCGGGATGTCTGCAAGTCCCTAGTCAACGATTAACGCTGTGTCGTTGCGATTTATGACGTGGCGCGACTTTGAAACGTCTGATTGCTCAATAACTCGGAGCCGAGAGAATTTGCGAAAAAAAATCTCGATACTGACCTTTGCAACGAGTTGCTGACCGCTGTGCACGTCGACGCATCGATAAAGAGCGCTACCCTCGGCCGGACCAAGAAGCAGGAATCGATCGCCAAGCAGGGTCGGCCCCCCATGAAGGTCGGTGGGCACCGACTCGCAGCTAGGGAAGACGCAGCTCGGCGGCACTACCGCACTGCTCTCGTCGCTGGCCGGCTGTTGCTGCGGCAACGGTTGCTGATGAACGACGTCCTGACCGCCGGCGTTAAGACCGACCAGAAACTTGCCATTATTGGTACGGGTCGGTACTTGCAGATGCAGTGGATGCTGCCTGGCCACTCTCATGTTGCGTCCCCTTTAAACCGCGCGCGCCCGCGCACACTCTCGATGTGTCACTCGTGCACAGACACAATGTTCCTCTTATTATATATATATGTATTATATTGTCCTGGTTTACGCGGGATATATTATGGTATAAGAATGCGTTGAACACACTTCGCGCGTCACTTGGATTTTCGTCGCGACGCTACAATCCCGAATATTGGCATCTATATTATGTACAAAGAGCGCAGCGCGTGGATTTCTCGCTCTCACGACGGGTGTTTGGCTTCTCTATAAGCTCTAACGAGTTAAGCTATTTAGTTAGAAATATCACTTGTGCTTTTGGGGAGAGTGGAACCCGTGCAGTGTCGTTTCACAATGTCGCTGCGCCGGGTCCTTGGACGGAGAGAGATCTTCGTGGATAATCAGTCGGTCGCTGTCGAGAACTGATTCTGCAATAGGAAAGGAACGAGAGTATTAGAAATAGAATACTAACACAGAGCTATATGTATATAAGTTTATCTCGGTATTTTACCTAGTTAATTTAAATCGAAGATATATTCTACTCGGCTTAATATTTTATACAATTGCGCACATGATCTTTATATTAGAAAACTAAAATTAAAACGCGGTCACCCGTTTGTAGCAAATCGAATTGCTCCGGATCGCGATAAATCGGCGAATTTAATTTTAAAATCTTGCGCTTCCCGTGAATCTCCATCGTGTCTTTCGCGAGTAGTGTTGGGTAGTATCTAGATACATTTTGTGTCTCTGAGTCTGTATCTGACAATGAGATATATTCGAATTGAAGTATCTATATCTGTATCTAGATACAAAACATGGTGTCTGAATTATTTTTTTCATATACATGTGCAGATACATTTTCACATATTTTTTTTAATAGTCTAATTCTTTAAATAAATAAAAAATCAAGACTGCAAGTTATCAACACCGGTATATCGTTATCAATACTGGTTGAGTGATTATTAAGGATTGATCAAATTTTAGTACCATAACGAAATAGTTTGAGTGACGATATTTTTAAGATTAACGAATAAAGTCGTATTATAAACAAAAATATAAATAAAGATAAAAGAATTATTCAGTACATTTTAAGCATATTATTACCATTATTATAATAAAATGTAATTTAAAAGTATCTGATATGTATCTGAGATACTTTTAAAGTATCTGAGTATCTGTATCTATATATATATATATATACCTACATTTTAATTTGTGTATCTGTATCTAGATATATCTTGTTACACGTATCTGTATCGCGATACATTTTAAATGTGTGTGTGTGTGTATCTACCCATCACTATTCGCGAGATATAAAAAAGAAAGAATATTTGATTCCCTCTTGACAATCCGTGCGGCACTGGCCCTGGCCAAAATAGCAGAAGAGGCATGGCGCACCTACATCACAATTACGCCTACGTGTTTACACGCCCGCACGTCTCGTGTGCACGATTCACGACGATGACAATAGTTCCGTTCGCAAAGTCCACAATATGATTCACGGACAATTTCAAAATGCGCGACGTTTCAACATTCCTGCCTCATGCGCAACTTCTACGAGTCGAGAAGGGGACTTCGTAAGGTCAGGGATATCGTTGGGACTCGGAGACAACTTCTTCTTCGAGTTATCTTGTGTGTCTGTCCCGAGCCAATTCCACGACACGATCACGTTATGAATAATTAATCGTTCGTTCAATTGTATCGTCACGTATACAATATAGATGTGGTGAACATTTTTTTTATATACATATATACAAAACAGCATAAGAATAGAAAAATATGAGTTTTGTATTTGCAATGAGTTAATCGTTTCCTGGTAAATATCAGGGAAAGTTTGCAGATGCAAATTCTGCAGAAAAAGTTGCGAGAGAGAAAGTTAATGGACGTAACATCGTTTTGCAAATTTACTTTACTCGCGTATATACGTAGAATAGAAACTGCACTGCGTTTAATTAGCCAGGAGTGAAGAGATTATTCGTAATAAAACTTTCGTAACGCGTTTGTGTTACAAAACGGCATCGTTTGGTACAATCGATGCCGTTTGTTACAAAAGTATCGACACGGTTTTGCGGATGCCTAGAGCCGGCACTGATTGCGATCGAAGATAAGCGACGACGAAAGCAAATTACGTGACAGTTTTATGAATTATCGAACATATAGAGAAGAAATGCCAGAGTGTCTAGCAGACTCAATAAAAAAAATTCCCTGACTTTCAGATTTTCCACAAGACCAGAAATTCATTTTTTCTCTGATTTTTTTTAGTATTATTTTTTCCAAATATATAATTTGCAATTATCTATATGATAAATCAATTAAATGTTAAATCATGAAATCGTCGAGATATTTTTGTCAGCAATGAAAAGGTTCGGAAGTTAAAAGAAAAATTTAAATTAATCATACAATCTGCATTATGTACGATAATCGAAACAAACATGTCATTATAAACTATTTAAATAATCATCTTTTTCATTTACATTATATCAAATTTTTTATTCTGTCTCTATCAAACACATTGAAATAAAATAACACGATGATAAAAATATAAATTAACGGACACGCTGTAGATGAATCGATTTGTAACGACACAAAAAATTAGCGTGCTGGCAGTCAAGAAAAAGTTTAGATTTATTTAATAAAAAATTTCAATTATTGAGACAAATAGAGTAATATGAAAAAATCCAGATAAATAGTAAAATTTCCTGACTTCCCTGACAATTCCAAATTTATAAAATTCCCTGGCCGCTAGACACTCTGGATGCAGTAGACACGTGGTCGGCGATGATATAAGCGCGAAAAGAGCTCGCGATTATTCGCGTAAGGAAAGATTCCCTCGATCTTTCAGGGGGAGAGGTACGGCCTAATTTATCCGAGATCGCCTGAAATAGTAGCGGCTGCGATGATCCACTCGCATCATGATGACTCACGCGCGTAATTTTATCGTAAATATACCGCTTCCCCCCTCTTGTTCTCCCCCGCCACCCCGATAAATGTCGATGACACGAAGTTGATCCGCGATGTTTACAAAACAATGCACCCATTCGCCGCATCATCGAAAATCCATGATTGCACGAATTAATTGCACTAACGAATCGAAATGAATGTAAATTTATATATATATGCTGAAAATGAATTTTAGAAGTATGCAATTATTTATGCCAATCAAGCGTCTCTATTTCTGATATCGAGATTACGTTTGATTTTACAATAAAACACACACATGTTAATTAATTTTATATTCAAAGTTTACAAACCAATATTTTTTTTTACTTATTTCACATTTTTGAATAATTGGATAAAGAATGAGTAAAAAGATGTGTAAATTATTATTCGTTTATCGTGAAAAAATTTGAGAATTTTTTGCACACAACCTCTCTTTTTGCCGCAGATTTTTTTAATATATAAAAAGCTTTAATCGAGATAAAGCTTAGCAATGATATCGTAGCAAAATCAAATGAATAAAATGATTTTTTACGCTAAAATTTGCTTCCGCGAACGACATCGCCCTTCTATTAGCTCGTTATACATTCCCCAACCGCATAATCGTTCAATGTCGATTCAAGATATGCAAATATCACGCAGTCGTCCTTGAGGAAGCTCCTCGAAGCGTACAACCGGCGTATATGCTCATTTTCATGCGACTTCGTTGTAGAAGCGTCGTTTTTCTCGAAATTCAACAAATAAGCGAATTCGAACCGAATTCGATCTCACGTCAAATTACAGCCCCCGTATTTCTTTTCCATAGCCACATATAATGACGACGTTAGAAATGAGAAATTATGTATATGTATATAATTTCGTGTTTTATAATATATCGAAACAGCATATTTTTTTGTAAATCATTCACTGAAAAAAAAAACATTGAATTCAAATAAATATTTATTTAAATAATTCCATTTACACATTTATTTGAAACGAATAAATATTTATCGGTTTTGAAAAAGAATTTCTTATATCAAATAAATATTTTTTCACGGCGAATCAATATTATTTGTTCCAAATAAATGATGTATAAAAGAGTATCGAAATAAATATTTATTTGAATAATTAAATAATTTTTTTTTCAGTGTAGTACCAATTGATAGAAAAATAAAATATATCTGCAACTCTCATGAATGATAAAAAAGTTCATGTACAACTCTAAATTGTATTTGTACATGTTAACGTTACATATTTTTAATTATGATAGTTAAAAATCGGGATTAGTAGGTCATTGTTCTTTTTCAAACTGAATAATTATAGCGAGTTAGCGACGATAATTAACGACTCGACGATAATGAGCACCAGAGTCGAATGCGAAGACCGGTATCATTTCATCGAGTAAATTGCCTATAAACGTGACGAAATACCATATGTTCGACCTTGAGTGTGCGAAACGAAGAATCGAGAGATGAGACAGAATATCGAGAGACTCGAAGGAGAATAGACAAAGTATGAATCTCGCAATTCTCTACGCGAGATAATAATTAAATAATGATTAAGTAATTAAAATTTACGTAAAATCTCTCGCTTTTTTTCTATAATTGCTAGGAGGGAAAAATTTAATTTTTTATGGGAAAAATCTTTGATGAGAAATTAAGTTGACATTTATATTAACGTCATCGTTAATTAGGCTTATATTTTCCGAATCTTAGCACTCGTGCATGGTAATTTTATAGTGATTGGTAATTAGGAATAGTAATATATCTCGGACAATTTTGAGCGAGATATTACTCAATTCTGGTTGTTTACGAGCTTTGTATCGTATCGTTTAAAAATCATATATCATTCGCGTGGCAGATGCTGACTGACGATACTCGCGAAACCTCCTCCATTACGAGATATCTACGCACTTGCGCAAAAGTCGACAACACCGACGCAACAACGAGTCTCGAACGGCTCCAAAGATCAGGGCTGTGCAACGCGATCTTCTCCCCTCCATCGTCTTCGAGTTTCCTTTTCGTTGCGCGATACAAACGAGATGACGAGAAATCGTAACTTGTTTTTATCACCGTAGAGGACTTTCCAAGGCGGAAAGCGGCTTTATCACACTGATCACGTGGATGCCATGATATTATTCGTGAGGTCAGAGCCGTATCGACGAGCGAACAGACCCGAGTCGATTATTCGTTTATCCTCCAAATTATATTCTTCGACGATGACTTAATGTCGATAATTAGTACAATCTGTCTATAACAGTTTCTTGAATTCAGCAATCACGAATATTTGGAAATAATTTGATTAATAATCATATATCGCGTTTTTTTAAGTCGAAATGATAAAAGATATTGTAATGCAATCAGCTGATTTTATATTCAGCTTCATATGAAAGCCAGATAAGAAAAATATACATACGTATTAAATAAAAAATGTGCAAATCAGACATATGAATTGAAAACAGGTATGAAATGAGATTATCCGTCAAAGATTAATATTCCAAAAGAAATGATGAAATCTTTAGCGAGTATTGAGCCACATAAAGCTTTAAATTTAGTATGCATGAATAACAATGTTAATCTTTTTTTACATAAGTTTCTTTGCAATATAGATTTTTTTCTACACAAATATATATTTAAATATAATTTCTATAAATACATAAATATCTTTAAATATAATTTTTTCAATACAACACAAAGGACTGTCAACCGATTGTTCCAACCTTTACTCGACAGATTATTGTTTATTTAATATAAAAAAAAATAAAATAAAATAAAAAAGTTTAATTTAAAAAAATTGAGAAAAAAATTTAAATTATGCCCTCTCCTGGAAAAAATTTTGCAGACGTCCTTGCTGATGGATTAGCATATTTTCGTTTCTTTTCAGCTAAAGTCTAAAAAGAGACAAAGGGTATACTACCTGTCGGGTAAAATTGATCAAAAGAAGTTGGAACGACCGACCGTAATAGAACGAAAAATCTTTGATCGAATCGTGAGAGAATTAAAGTCGTCGAGCGAGATGAAGCGAGTCAGGACGGTTTCGTGGCCGTTTCGATATAGCCGGCAGGTGCGCGAACCCAGGGCACTGTCGAGGTCTTATTCACCCCTCCACGCACGTTCCCTCAATGAAACGCGCGTATCTGACGAAATCGCGAGCTCGGAATTAGTAAAGTGTTGCGTTCGTCTCTCTCTGTCTCTCCGTCATCGTGTGTGTCGAAATGACACGCGCACGCGTGCAACCAATATATACGTACACATACATACACATATATATATATATATATATATATATATATATATATGTGTGTGTGTGTGTATATATGTATACATTTTGCCAGAGAGAGAGAGAGATATCCTTCGGTAAGGTCAAAATGGCGGAGGCTCACCGCGATTGTCGCATGCGCGCGCGTGTAATATTGCGGGCATCGTTTGCATTAATAGCGCGCGCAACCAAAACGTGACGCAAGTTGGCGAAATAAATTGCCTAATATTATTTTTTCGTCCCGCTACCGTTTGTATATTGCACAAAAAATATTTATTCCGATTAAAGCCGATCCGGTTCCCCCCGAAAAATCGGGGAAAAATTCGACCCCCTTATCTCGTCGCAGCATCCTTTTTTTTCTCGTCCGATTTCGTAACATTGAAACGTGGATCTCGCCGGATAGAATTTCCGGTGAAGATTGAAAAAGATGGATCTTAACACCGGTTATCGCGCGTTTCCTTTGTGTCAGAAATAATCAAAGAAATTGTTTTCGTATACGTCGCCGAGCATCGACGTAAATTCGCACTTAAGTCATACCGGTTTTTATAGTGTCCGCGTCAAATCTTTCATTCAATATAAACATCCTCATTCAGCATAAATCTGACTCAATGGAAATAAACAAGGAAGAATCCAACTACGCGTATCTCGATACACAATATAAAAAGTTAAGTATTCTTAAACAAGGATCAACTATGCTCGATTGGAATTCGAGTGTTGCAATTTCTTGCAAACACTTTAAAAGGTTTGAAAAATTTAATAGGATTATTTTTAATAAAATGAGGAAAACATTAGCGATTTTACAAAATATTAAATTGCTTACACGCTTGAACAGACAATTTCTTTGATACGATTTTCGGAATGTTTCCTCAATGACAACGCTACATCCGGTCGGCTTTATCAGAAAAGGATTACGATCCAGATCTATGAAATCATTACGAAATGCAGAGGCCATGACGCAGCACTCGCATGTCCGGCGTCATCCGGCTTTTGTGCTTGACACATGCCACAATTAACGATCGATATTTAGGGGCGGTGCAAAAAGTGATTCGAAGCTTAAGTACCGTTTTCTACCGGTAATATAGTTCTACTGGTATATAGTTTCATTAAGATCATTATGACATGAATTTTTTGATGACACTATAAACGAAAAAAATAAAATAAATGAATAAATAAGTGACAGAAATGTGCAGCGTAGAAGTAAAATTGCGTCGCAAATTAATCGTAATCGCGGGAGAAAATTTAAATGGATCGAGTCAGATCGGTTGTCGCAAGCAGCAGATACGCCGAAGACAACCTCGACGATAATAGCGTCGATGCAATAAGCACACTGAACTTTACACAAGAGCCGCGACGACGTACACAAGCACTCTCTCGCGCTCCAATCGTTTCCACCCCCGAATCAAATAATCCCCGAGTAGCCTAGCATATTCCACGGTGGATAACGCGTTTCCTGCGAAGAATTAGGGGAAGGTGCACACCGCGCCGACCGATTCCCGTTGTTCCGCGCGCGTGGAAATTCACACTTATCAAGCGAGAAAAAAAGAGAAGACAAATTCGGAGACGGAATTTTACCTTCATGTTTTTTTTTCCTTGTCGTTGTTTTTGCCGTGCGTCGTTCCTGAATCGGTGGGTGGTTAAAGACGATTGGACGTCCGCGGGCGGCACGGCAGAGTCTTCTTCTTGTTCTTCTTCTTCTTGGCTCGCTTCTCACGTCGGCTGCTGCGTCACGTTTGATGACGGAGCTGTTGGTTGTTTCGTTTGCGAAACACGGCCGAGATATTTTTTTTTTTTCGTCTTCCGCGGTTTTTTTCAGAGAACAAAGATCGAGGTGGGAGAAAGACAGAGAGCGTGCGCGTGTACGCGAGAGAGACTCGTGGTATCCGCGCGACGGACGGTCCAACGTTTTGGGCCGGCCCACCGCTCAGAAACGACGGCGGCAGCAACAAGACGGGCAAGCACAGACCGACGATGCCATTGTGCAACTGACAACTGAACTGGCGGACGGACGTACGCGCGGACGTAACCCAGGCGTACCGCGCTTCGGCGATCATCGGCCGCGCTCGTGACCACGTGGGTGGGGGAAGCCGCGCTCGGCTGACAGCCGCTGACATCAGACGCTTCCCCCGCCGCCCCGCCAGTTCCGGTGAGTCTGTTTGGGGTCTGGGTGTTTCGTTCTTTTCGCGCGTGCGACTTAACCTTATCTGGTATTGTCGAATGATATTTTATGTTATATGCCTTTTTTACGTTCGATTGAGATTGTACAAATGAGATATTGCAGTCTGAATATACTGAAGCAGAATATATACACGTATATAAATATATATTTTAATATATATGCATCTTCTCGATTTTTCAATTTTTTCTAAGATAAGGAATTTATATAGGTATTGATTGTATATAAAAGTTTTATATAAAAATCTTGAGACATGTGTAATATAGCAATTTTTAATATGCTGCATATTACAAATTGCTATATTACACATGTCTCAAGATTTTTATATAAAACTTTTATATACAATCAATACTTTGTTGATAAACTGTCAAACTATTATGAAAAAGATACAAACTTGCTAGAAATATAACGCGATTATTTATATAGAAAGTTTGCACGTATATCTGTAGATACTTGGTAATATTTTCAGTATAATATACATGCTTATCGATTCTGACCTAACCTAGAAAATTCATTATACCTTTCAGAGGTCAATGATATCATTAACGAGATGGAAAAGCACGCGCAAATTCCTCGAATCACCGAAAACGCATTACATCATACGCTGCTGCTATCGTAACACGTGCTACTATTGCGCACGCGGATGATCGTTCCAGTTGTCGCCGTTTAGGAGAAGACGGTCCATCAAATTCGTCACGAGGAAGCAGATATACTCGCGAAAACGACGGATGCTTCATCGTTACAAGCCAGCATTGGTATGTACCAATCTTATCTTGTACCTCTTCGAGAAAATGACGATAAATGTCATAAATGATAAAAGCGATCAGGAATTGATCGGAAACATCTACGTACTACTGGCCACTATAACCACTTTGATATGTACACGTACTCGCAATATGTATACGTGGACTCTTTGAATCGCAACACGCGGTATTATATACATATGTCAAGCTTATCTATCACATAAAGCGTCTTTCATGTATAGCGTGTACTTATACTATATACAGTAGTGGAGTTTTATTCTGTAGAATAAATTGTTATCAGATACCGCAGAAAATAATTACGCGCAAACTTGATCGCAAATATACAATATTTTTATTTTAACTATAAAAAATAAACACGTAATACTTATTTAAATATATTGACAAGTGTTGAAGAAAGTAATCAAGTGTGATTTATTCTGAATATTTATCTGACAATATACAATTTTTGAAATTGCGAAGAAAAATCGATAATCTGCAAAGAATTTAGAGTCTGTTCGGCATCTTTAAAAATTTACGTACGCAATCTTCGCGAGACACGAGATCTTTGCAGAGGCTTTTGCTCGGCGCAACGCGCCCTTGACCTACCTACCTACCTTAACGCTCCTCGTTGGAGAGCGCGGGAGGCAGGCTTTAAACAATTGCGCGTATAAGGGCATGTAACTTCACCCACGTGTGACCGTGACGGATCTCCTACCTTCGATTATTCAGTTTTTCCTAACGACGTACGACGAATAGAATTTCGCGTAAATCCTTGATGAATAAATTGTAGCTTCAGATTTTTCTATTTATCAAATAAAGAACTCTCAAATATATCTATCATTGTGTTGTTTAAAATAACGAAAATAATTCAGCAGAAAGATGCAAATAGAACAGAGATCGAAAATAGCTCAGCCAAATAGTATGAGAAAAATAAAATAAATTCTATTAGGTATTATTACGCAATTGATATATGTATATATGTGTAAGAGTAAGAATAATGTAAAGTTGATATAAAGTTGTAGTATGTAAAGTTGATTTGTAAAATATACCGTAGCACAGGATTACATCATATAATTTATATCAATATTCGATGACTTCTATATACCATGCATTTTCTGAAATATGTGTAAATGAGCACGTGATGCTGTTGTGTGTGTCTCGCGTGTCAAAATCACAGATATACACATACATACATATTTCATGATTTAATGACATACTCCAGGGTGCACATGCACGCGGAGATCGACTCCGGGCATTGCGAAGACGTGTGCGCGGCCACGTATACATCTCGAAAGAAAGAGAGAGAGAGAGAAAAAGAACGAGATAAGGCCACGATTGCGTGGTGTCTGGATCACGCTCGAGTCAGGCCAGGCCTTCGCATAAACGGCGTTTCCAAACGTTCCCGCGTTCCGACCACCGGATATTGATCAACTCGACCACCTTTTTTTATCCCATGCCATTCCGCTCACGTGGGTGGCTGGTTCGCGATGATTAACCGCCGCGAGACGAAGAGTGCGGAACAGGCACGAAAAAGAAGAAGAAGGAAGAGGAGATGGATTATATCGGTGGTGATCGATACAGTCCGTGAAAATTGAGCACTCCACGTGGCGGCTGTCATTACAAAAGAGAACCGGAGTCACGCGTGATTCGCTTCGTTATCGTCTTTCTTCATTTCGACAGCGCGAGTCTTATCACAAGTTGCGTTTGCAATATAATACGATTTACAAAAGTGCACGTGAATAATTTGTGATTGATTTGAAGTAACACAAAAAAATTCCCTGTCTAGAATCGCTTAGCAAAACTATTGCGGCAGTTTTATGTTTGTTCTTAATTATTACTAACTTATTTTGCATAGAATTTTACAAAATTATTTCCTCGTTAACAATATTCTATTATGAAAAAAATTATAAATTTATTTTTATAAAATGGATCTATATACATATATCGCACAATTCAATAGATTATGTTGTTTGAATAAAAGCTTAATGGATTACTACATTATATTTTACCAATTGATAAAACGTGATAACGTTTATGTCGCTCGAGCTGAGAAACAATATTGACCTATGATAATAAAAACGCAAGGAATTAGAGAAAAATCGAATTGTTTTTTTCAAAATTCAATAAGGATAAACATTTTTATGTAAATAATAATAACCTTTGTCTCGTGTTCGGGGGGAATATGAATACACATATTATCACTAGGCGATAATCCGTAGAACTGGTTTCGTTTTTTCATGAGAAATGACGACACCACCAGTATCTTTTACTGCACCAGTATTTTTAGTCAGATTTTTAGATATATTCTTCTTTTCTTCTTTGACACTTGGTGTCATTTGTGCGAATATTTCGTCATGCGACACACGATTGACTCAGAGTGCGTCGTTGACAGTTCATTGATTAACGATTTGGTATTATCGGACGAAATTTATTCGGAAGCAAAGTTTGTTCTTGGTAAACAACTATATAATTAACGCACATTTCTTTTTCGGTGATTTTTTGAACATACATATATTTTTAAATTTATATCTTCGCGATTACGAGCATTCGGATTGATTACGCAGTACGAAAGTATCTTGGGTTTTTACCCGAAGGATATTTGCATGAGCAAGTTTTCTTTAACAAGAAATTAATGCGGTGCACCCTTAATGAGCTATTAGCTAATTAACAAGAGCTAGTAATGTGTTTTTGTAATAAAAAGAATCTTAATTTGAATTTATTCTTTAATTAAAGGAATAAAGAAAACTGCCTGCAAAGTTTTATCAAGATATTCTAGTTATTAATTATATCTTTGCGCAATTAACACGACTTCCGGCATGCCATAGGCTCTTAAATATTTACGTTGAAATAATTCCTCGATCACTGATCGATAATGTGGGCGTACAAATATATATATATATATATACATAAGACTACAAATGATTCATTCCTTTGTTAACTTTCAACCATAAGGATGACGAAAGTAGATAAATAATAGAATTATCTTTTGTCTGATCAATCACTTGATTTTTTTGAAGACTAAAGTAGTTTTTGTTTAATTTATTATCAAAGAGAATGTGCGTGAAATTTTCAAATTCCATTTGAGAATTATTTTGAAATTCACAATATATCTATATATATATATATATATATATATATATATATATATATATATATATATATCATATACGAATAGCCGAAATTACACTGAAAAAAATGTATTGAATTCGAATAAGTATTTACTTCAACACTGCCAAATAAATCATTTTTTTAAAACTAATAATATTGATTTAAGTAATGTGAAAAATATTTATTTGATATAAGGAAATATTTTTCAAAACAAATAAATATTCATTTATTTTGAATGAATAATTTATTAGGCAGTAGGTATTCAAATAAATATTTATTAATTTAATAACTTTTTTTCCAGTGCATGATTAAACATACGTGTATATTAACGTGTGTACTTTATATATGTATGTGTGCATCATGTCACTAAAAATTTTCGGTAATAAGAAAACGAGACAGCGGCTGTTATTATCTATCACGTATGCAATGATCATCTCGATTCTATACCGATTCGGTCAGTGGTTATTTACGTGTCATGATTGCGGATAAATTAGTCATCGAGAAATATGCGGGAATCCTGTTCGGTGATTGGAAAACAATGGGAGAGACTGGCGAAGGAACGTGGAGATCCTTTCGTCTTTCACGCATGTGTTGTACCATTGTCACGTATGGAATATTCTTTGCTGATCAATACCTTGTATTTTTCCCAGTGACGGATAATAGCTTATTGGAACACAACATTTAATTTCATACATTTTTAAAAAATACATCTCTCTCGTGACAAACATTTATTCTTAAGCAATAAGGAGAAAAGGTTGAAGGAAAAATTTATTATAAATTGGCTAAAGAATCATAGATTAAAACAATATAAATAAAATCTATTTTGCAAGATTTCTTAAGAGTTAGAGCCTTGATGTTCAAAATTCATTATGCATCTTCGAAAAAAAACTATTGATTTCAAATAAATATTTATTTAAATGGTACCATTTACACCATTTGTTTGAAACTAATAATATTAATTTGCCGTGAAAAAATACTTATTTGATATAAGACATTCTTTTTCAAAACAGATAAAAAATATTTGTTTCAAACAAATGTGCAAATGGTACTATTTAAATAAATATTTATTTGAAATCAAAAGTTTTTACTCAGTGGACTTGTATTTGATAAAAATAAATTGAAAAACGCGGGAGATTAAATAAAAAGGCAGATATAAATAAAACGAAAAATATTTTTGCGGAATTTCTCTAGAATAGACGAAAACAAAGAAAGAGAAAAATATTTTTTAATAGAGTTTACTTTGATTTTTGCAATATATTATGTAAATGATTAAATACATAATATTTTATACCATCTGTGTCAATTACAAATTTGTTTAAAGCTCTCTTTCATTTTCGCTTTTTGATCACTTTTAACATTTCTTCCGAAAATGGCATTAAAGAACATTATATTCTTAAATTACATCATCTCGCGTAAAAATATACTAAAACACGCGTGATGAGATAATGTCGATGATGTAAATGTCACATTATTAATATAAATGAGAAATTTAGGCTGTTGATTGTTCAACATTGCTTAACACATCCACCAAAAGTCAGTCCATCAATGCACATAATTGCAAAAAAGATTCTGTTATTTACTTCAGAAACAAAAATACTTTAAAAACAAAAATAAATTTTTTTACGCGATAATCTCGGTACTTTCGGTATAATGTGTAATAATTGCACGCGTAAAGTGCAATTATTAGAACAATGATGCAGTAATGTTTGTCAATTTAAAATATTTTCGAACTATTATTCCCTGTGTTATGCAAAATTGCTTTCGCAATTTAGTATTTTTCATAATAAAATCATTAATTGACATTTTTTACTATAATTTTATTGTTAGTGCTAGGAAATTATTACTATTGCGATTCACTTACTTGACGATAAATATTCACTTCCATTTCACCTCACACGTCATTG